TCCTGGAGGTGCTCGTACTAGAGGTACTGGAGCTGCCGGAGCTGGTGGTGTTGGAGGCACTGGAGCTTGAGACCGTGGAGCTGGAGGCACTGGAGCTGGAGACCCTGGAGCTGGAGGCGCTAGAGCTGGAGGCCCTGTAGCTGAAGGGCGCTGGCGCTGGAGGCGCTAGAGCTGGAGGCACTGGAGCTAGAGACCCTGGAGCTGGAAGCGCTGGCGCTGGAGGCGCTAGAGCTGGAGGCACTGGAGTTGGAGACCCTGGAGCTGGAGGCGCTGGAGTTGGAGACCCTGGAGCTGGACGTGCTAGCGCTGGGGGTGCTGGAGCTGGCGGTACTGGTGCTGGAGGCACTGTGCAGCGGCGACCGTTTCTCGTTCCGCCGCCACCGTCGTCTCTGCTGCCACCTGCGCAAGCGCCTTCACGGGCGTGGTCGGGCGTCGTGGTACCGCGACATGGAGACCGAGGTGTACTCACGTGTTCTTGCCCACCGGAAAAAGTGTCTCGCTATGTCTGTCGGCCGACTACAGAAGTGGTCACACGAGGTGATGAAGATCCTGCATCCTGAGGTAAAGTGGGCTGGATCTCAGAGGTGGACTGAGCGTTTTTTACGATGCTGGAACCTCACTACCCGAGCGAAGACCAGAATCGGCCAGAAGCTGTCGTCTGGTGAGTCGGTGTTTGTGCTGTTGCTCTTGTTTATGGCTGCTTACGACCTTTGAAATTCAAATTTTCTTATTTTGTTTGTCTCTCCCACCCTTCCCTTGCAGAGTGTGAGACACAGGTGTGGAACTTCTGGAAGTTCGTGCGACACACCCGCCGACAGTACGGCCTCGACAACCGCTGGATTATTAATGCCGATCAAACTCCACTCTGGCTCGAGATGCCAGCTGAACACACGGTCGAGGAGGCAGGGATCCGCTCCGTGCTCATCCGCAACGGCGGCTATAAAAAAGAACACGTGACGGTGATGCTCGCCAGTACCGCCAGCGGCGAGAAGCTCAAGCCTTGGGTCTTCTTTAAGCGCAAGACAATTCCTAAGGGGAATTTCCCCTCTGGTAAGCCGAGCAGCTTGTGCTGTGACGGTGTCATTTGCATGTGATGTTTTTTTATTATATCTGATGCTAATCTGTGCGTAAGCCTTATTCGGATGTGCAGATGTTGTGGTCACCGCACATCCCAACAATCGGATGGACGCAGACAGCGTCCTCGCGTGGCTCGACAGGACAATGAACCCGTACGTCAACCCCAGGTTCGGAGTACGCAGCAGGAAGGTGATGTTGGTTCTTGACTCCTACCGCGGGCACCTCACTGATGCTGTGAAGGCAAAATTCGGCGAGCTGAACATCGTCCCCGCCGTCATACCAGCTCGCTGCACCTCTGAGATCCAGCCTCTTGACTTCGCGGTGAACCGCTCATTCAAAGCAGCAATCCGAGAACTGTACCAGGAGTGGTTCGAGAGCGAGGGGGTCGACTGCCTGACCGAAAGAGGTGAGCTCAATCCCTACGTGTACGATGCATTTGCTATTGACTATTTCCATCCTGTTCTGATTGCTGTTGTGTTTCCATGTGTGGCAGGCAACATCCGCATGCTGTCCGAATTAAATTATTATAACTGCATGTAGTTCTAGCCTTAGTGTAGTTATCCTAACTTCCTGCTTGGTGGTGTACCCCCCTTTCCTACCCTATTTGTACTTCGCTCTCTATAGTGAAACCACCTCTTTCTTGTTCTCAACTCTCTCGACACTCTTTGGCTAGCCTAAACTCTAGCCATGGCTCCTATGACTTTAACATGGCATTAAGAGCAGGCCCTTCCTAGACCGCTCACTGTTTTTGGGCCCACCACCTGCTGCACTACGCGCCACCCTCATGTGGCCCTTCTCTCGACATTAGGCCCCGGCCCGTTGCTCGTGCCCATCGCCCCTAGGCCCGTCGCCCCTCGGCCCCGTCGCCCCTAGGCCTCGGTCCCGGCCCGTAGCCCGTCGCGCGTAGCCCCTAGGCCCGTCGCCCTTAGGCTTCGGCCCCCCGGCCCGTCGCTCGCGCCCGTCGCTCCCCTAGGCCCCGGTTCCGGCCCGTCGCCCATCGCGCCCGCCGCCCCAAGGCCCGTCGGCACCGTCGCCCCTAGGCCCCGGCCTCGTCGCCAAAGGCGCCGTCGCCTGCGGCTTTGTCTCCCGCAGACACGTCGCCCGAGGACCTGTCGCCCGCGGCCTCGTCGCCCCTTGCCTCGTCGCCCGAGGACCCGCCCCCCCCCCCCCCCCTCAACTTCGTTCTCCCTCTCCCTGCTGCGCGTGCAGTTGAAAAGGAGGGGGGGGGGGGGGGAGGGAAGGGAGTTGGGGGCGCGGATCATGGAGGGTGAGGGGGTGGCAAGAGGGGTGCGGTTCCGGGGGGTGGCTGACCTAGGGGGTGGCAGGAGGGGTTTCTGCAACACCAGCCACCCACCAACTCCTCCTCCTCTCTCTCTCCCTACCGCACCTTGTGTTGGGAGGGGGGGGGGGAGCTTGGAGGTTAAGGGGGTGGCGGGGAGGGGATCTGCAGCATCAGCCCCCCTCCCCCCCCCCCCCCCCCCCCCCTTCTCCTCCATTCCCTTGCTGCGAGTGCAGCAGTGGGGGGGAGGGGATCTGCAGCACCAGCCCCCCCCCCTGCCCCCCACTTCTCCTCCATCCCTCTGCTGCGGGTGCAGCAGTGGGGGGAGGGGATCTGCAGCACCAGCTCCCCCGCCCCCCCCTTCTCCTCCATCCCCCTGTTGCGGGTGCAGCAGTGGGGGGGAGGGTATGGGGGTGGCGGGTGTGAGTGAACTGCTGCCGCCTCTCCTCCTCTCTTTCCCACTGCTGCACATGCCACTGGGGGGGGGGGGGGGGAAATGAGGGACGAAACAGCCACACATCTGCGAGTGCCGCCCTCTGCTACCGTGGTACCTCCAGCTGCAGCCCCTGTCGCCACCCTTGTTTGTCTTGACTCTCTACTGCTGTTGAGCGGCAGGTGCTGCCGTTGAGCCCTGCTGTGCCGCTGCCCTTGCCGCCACACGCTCCTGCTCTCCAGGCGGCCTGCCGCCACATGCACCTACTTCTGCTGTGCCGCCGCACGCTCCTGCTTCTGCTGCTTCTACCTTGGCTGAGGGGTTACTGCAACTGTATCTGCCACTATTGCACTGGTTGTCACTGCTCTTGCGTGCTGCTGCTTTGTTCTGCTTGGTGTACCCCTGCAGGTTGTGTCTAGCACTTGGCTCTTCCTGCATGCAGTTAAGGGGGGATGTCAGAATTATATTATTATAATTGCATGTAGTTCTAGCCTTAGTGTAGTTATCCTAACTTCCTGCTTGGTGGTGTAACCCCCTTTCCTACCCTATTTGTACTTCACTCTCTATAGTGAAACCACCTCTTTCTTGTTCTCAACTCTCTCGACACTCCTTGGCTAGCCTAAACTCTAGCCATGGCTCCTATGACTTTAACACATGCCACCTCCAGAGCTGACGCTCAAGTGGATGCCCAAGGAGTTGATTGAGCGCCCGTTTCTTAACTGTGGCATCAGCAGCGCCCTGGATGGGTCTCAGGACAATCTCTCTGCATGCAGCACCGGCGGGACGCCGTCAAGGGTGAAGCAGAACTTGACGACGAGATTGCAACAGATGGATTCTACTGCAACAACGTAGAGGAGCCAGAGTCGGACGGGGAGGCCGACCAAGATGGCTCCGCCACTGTTGATGGTGATGCATAGGATGTGTAGGAAGAATAGAAATTAGAGAAGGTCTGTGGATGTTGTGGGAAACTATCAGTAGGATTTAGTAGAAGTTGTATTGGAAAAATATTATGCTGTAGTGAAAACAGCCTGTAAAAGATAGGATAATAATAGTCGAATTAAAAAATGGGAGGCGCTTGTAATGTGTAATAATACAGGGGTTCTCATATAGTTCGGAGGCCTCCAGGGGTGCGTTTATAATCGAGGACCAGATATAAGCGCCATCACCCTTTTATAACCGCCGACGCTTATCCGAGGCTTGCGCTTCTATCCGGGGGCTTACGGTACGTAGACAACAAGGCCATGATTGCCTTGTGTCAGGAGCACAGAACGAAACACATCGCTCTGCGCTACTTCCTTGCTCGAGAGTTGCAGCAGCGTGGTTAGCTTCGTCTTGCTTACGTGGCCACTAGGGCCAACACTGCTGATATATTCACCAAGACATATCAGTCTGGTGATCATCAGCGTTTTTGTACTGTTTTAGTCCTTGTGCCTACTTTGCCTCACTTGCTCACTGCGTGACTTTGCTTGTACTGTGATCTATATATATACTTGCATACTTACACTTGCTAGATTATGATAAGTGTGCTGTCTGTTCTCTGCATGTGAAATGGGCTTGTGGCCATTTGCTTGTGCTCGGAATGTGTGGTGATTTCGTGATCCACGCTGAGCTTGCTTTGCTTTTCTTGACTGGTCTTGTGACCACTTGTTCTTCCCCACTTTGCCTATGGGGGTGTGTCAAAATGTTATAATGTTTATATTATATAAGTTGTAGTGGGGTAGCCCGTAAGGGGTACAACCCAATTGGGGTTAGTACTTGTACCAACTTTCTGCTCAATGCATTCATTCTCGTTCAGCATTCTGACATGGTATCTGCCCCCAATGTGTAGGAGAACGATGTTTGTATGCCAGTGCTAGGGCGGGTAGAACTAGCAGTTGACCCTAAAGGGCTCGTGTAAGGGCTGTTACTGGAAGCGCTGCTGAAGCTGCCTTGGTTGGCTGAGGCAGTGCCGCTGGCAGTGGCAGTCATGCCTAGGTTGCTCAGGCTCCGCCTTGCTGCCCTCCTGTTGCTGCTGACCAGTCGCTGAACCGTGTCCACCAGCAACCTGTGCAAGTCAGAAGCAGAGACAGGCACGGAGAGTCACGGTCACAGGGAGGTGACTTTCTAGGCGCTTGAACAACGAGCAAGCTGTGCAAAGCAGGAGCACAGCCACAGATGGAAAATTCTTGAGGCTGTTAACATGGATGATATTCATGACCTTCCCCTTTGTACTCACCGTATGTTGATTGGCTTGGTGAGGTACCCATCCATTCCTGCCTGCCTGCACTTGGCCTCGTCACTGCATGAAAGACAAGATGGTAAAGCGAGGGCGGCAAAGAGAGGTTGGCAAGAGAGGGAGAGGCAAAACGAGATGATACATGGCACTCCCTCCCCCACCTGGCGAGTGCATGAGCAGTGAGAGCACAGATGACAGTGTGCAATGCAAAGCAGTGCGAAGTGGTGCAGAGCATTTTGCAGAGCAACTGCCATCCCCTCACCTGGCGAGTGCATGAGCAGTGAGCGCACAGATGACAGTGTGACGCCCTGTGCCCCTCTCTGCTGCACGAATGGTCCTGGTGGCCGTGTACCCATCCATCACTGGCATCTGCATGGGCGGACAGGCAGGAGGGAGGAGAGACGGATGAGGCAAGAGAGGCATTGGAGCGCCTCAAGCATGGTCCTGGTGGCCGTGTACCCATCCATCACTGGCATCTGCATGGGCGGACAGGCAGGAGGGAGGAGAGACGGATGAGGCAAGAGAGGCATTGGAGCGCCTCAAGCATGGTCCTGGTGGCCGTGTACCCATCCATCACTGGCATCTGCATGGGCGGACAGGCAGGAGGGAGGAGAGACGGATGAGGCAAGAGAGGCATTGGAGCGCCTCAAGCATGGTCCTGGTGGCCGTGTACCCATCCATCACTGGCATCTGCACAGGCGGACAGGCAGGAGGCGACAGAGGGAGCAAAAACATCAACCCTCGAACCTCAAGTGCCTCCTACTTGCCACCCCCAACCCTCAAACCTCAAGACCTGCCATCCCCAAGCCTCAAACCTGAAGTCCCTGCCATCCCAAACCTCCAACCACGAGTACCTGGCAGTCCATAAGCACAATGTCAAACTGATCTGCTGCTGTTGCTGTTGCTGCTGCATCCCCTCCTCCATTCATCACACCGCCCTTAGACCCATCCGCCCCAGCTGTAGCCACTGCATTGCCGCCATGATTTCCTGCTACAGCTGATGTTGCTACAGCTGCCCCTGATGGATCAAACGGGTTGGAAAATGATGATCTCGGCCTTTCCTCTCCCCCCACTGCGTGCTGTACTTCAAGGGGCGCACTGATCTGACTCTGCTGCACTCCTGCTGCCTCACACCCTTCCCCAACAACCCCTCCTCCCCTTCCTCCTCCTGCTTCAGTTGCTGTTGCTCCTCCTCCTCCCCCTGCTGTTGCCACAGGAGGGCTAGACGAGAGCGATGAGGCCAGAGGGGTGGAAGAGAGAGGGGAGGCGGAAGGGAGGGCGGAGAGGAGGAAGGAGACAGTGCCACTGCTGCCACGGCGAGGCTTCCAGCGAAAGGAACCCGCGGAGGGCGAGGGGGCGGCAGAGGGAAGGGCATCTGAGGGAGAGGCAGCGGCAGCATGAAGGCCAGAGCCAGCGTAAAGGGAGGAGCCAGCAGAGGAGAAGAGAGACCTGACGGTGCTGCTGGGGGTGCGGGGGCTGTCTGCTTTGCCTGTGTTGCTCGCAGTGGCTGTGTTGCCTGCCCCCGTGGTGCTTGAGTTGCCTGACCTAGGAGCTGGGCTGCTACTGCGTGCCCTTTCTAGCTTCCCTTCCTGCCCTGCTGCTGTTGCAGCTGCTTCTGTTGCTGCTGCAGGTGAGCCGGCCAGAATTGCTTCTCGCGCTATGCTGAAACTCTTCCTCCTGCTGCCAATGCCACTGCCCCCACTACCACCCGCAATACTAGCAGCAGTACCACCACCAGCACCAGCGGAATCACCAGCAGCAGCAGCAGCAGCACCACCACCACCAGCTGCACCAGCAGCACCAGCAGCACCAGCAGAACCTGCACTTCTATCGTCATCCGCCCAGGAGCTCAGCACGGTAGCAACAGCCTGCTGCCCATCAGACGCCACGGCCACACGAGCACCCATTTTCCTCAGCATGGATGCTGCTAGCTTCTGCAGCACAGCTGTATCCTCCACCACTAGAATATGCAGCCCTGCCAGGGGCTTGCCTGTCGGCATGGCCGACCCTCCCCCAGCTGCTGCTGCTGCTGCTCCTGCTCCTGCTCTTCCTGCGGCTCCTCCTGCTGCTCCTGCTGCTGGAACCGCGTCTCTGCCAGGGGTGTGTGGTCCCGCCATGCCTCGCCTCTCCTTGATTTGAGGCACTTCAAAGCTCGACCGCGCTCGCCTGGCTAGGGTGTCAAAGCTCGGCCGGGCTGCTGTGGGAGGGGTGGTGGGCGTGGACGGACCAACACTACCTGGGAGGGAGGAGGAGGAGAGGGCTGGCGTGGGAGGAGTGAGTCCCGAAGCAGAAGCAGAAGCAGCTGTGGAAGCAGATGGATCGGAGGTTCTTTTAGCCCTCCGCTGCTTCTGCCGACTCCCTTCCCGCGACCTTCTTCCAGGTGTGACTGCCAGGGACTGGTGGCTCGATCCCACGCTTCCTTCTCGTGAGTGCTGCAGCGGCTTTTGAGTCGACTCCACGCTTCCGTCTCTTGACCTCCTTCCAGGAGTGACTGCTCGCCTGCCACTGCTGATGCTGCTGCTGCTGTCGCCGTATTTCATAATGCCGGCTGCTGCTGTTGCTGCCTCGTAGTCTGAAGACGAGTTGCTACGGAAGAGGCCTGAGAGGCCTGAGAGGCGGTGTGTGAGGGAATGAGTGAGGGAGTGAGAGAGGGAGTGAGAGAGGGAGTGAGAGAGGGAGGTTGTGGGGCCGCGAGGCTTGGACTGTGTTCTTGTTGGGCGAGGCTGACCCTCCCCGCGTCCCTCTCCCCTTCCATCCCCCCCTCTCTCTCCCCCTCCCTCCCCCCATCCCTCTCCCCTTCCATCCCCCCCTCTCTCTACCCCTCCCTCCCTGTGTCGCTCTCCCCCACCTTCCCCTTCACTCTCTCCTCCTCCCTTCCCCCCTCTCCCTCCCCCTCCCTCCGCCCCTCCCTCGCCCCCAACACTCCTCCTCTCACTCCCACTCCACACAGAGCTGAGCACCTCTGCAAACGAGCCAAAGGGCAGCAATGCTCGCGGACTAGGGGTGCTTGACTGGCTCACACGGCTGCTGAATGCTGAGATTCGTGCTGCTGCTCCTCCTCCTCCTCCTGCTCCCCCTGCCGCTGCTGCTCCTCCTGTTGCTTCTCCAGCTGTGGCAGTTGCTGCTGTTGATCCTGCTTCTGTGTCACCTCCCCACTCACCCCCCTCCGCCCCCTTCTCCCCACTGTCAGCCCATGCACCAGACCTCTCCATCCCCCTCCCTCCCATTCCTCGCCTGGATAACCCCCTCAGGTTGTCGCCAGAGCAAGGGCTCGTGGAAGGGCGTTGGGGGACGGTGTAGGAGAGAGAGGGGAACGGCTCGGGCTGATTCTGGGCATGGGAAGTTGATTCGATGGAGAGGTGCGTTGGGTGGTTCGGCAGGGTGTTGGGTGTTGCAGATGTGGCGCGCAGGAGAGATGACGAGTGCTGCCAAGGGAGCTGATGGTTGCTTGGTGACTGTGGCACCTGCTGCTGCTGCTGCTGCAACGGTTGTAGCTTCCCCTTCTGCTGCTCCTCCTCATCTCGCTGCTGTGTCTGCTGCAATCTCTGCTCAGCTGGTTGCTCCAGGTGCTTCCTCAGGTTAACATCCACCTCCCTCGACTCACCTGAAGTCAATTCAGGTTCACTAACAACCGCCACAGAGACCCTCCCCTCAGAGCCTCTCCCCACAAGCCTTCTCTCTTCAGAACCACCGTGCAAGTTTCTTTCCTCAATGCCACCAGGAAAGTCTCTCCCTTCAAAACCACCGAGCAGATCTCGTCCCTCAGAATCGTCAGGTACTTGCACACACAGCCCCTTCAGAAGCCCAAACTCCAGGGCTGATCCTGTCCTAGGGATTTTCCCTCCCGTGGCGTGCCCATCCTGCTCGGTTGTTTCTGAAGCAGCCAGCACTCTTGACTGCCCTGCTTCCACGCTACAGATCGCACTCTCCTCCTTGCTGTCACCACCTCTGTTACCACCTCTGTTACCATCTCTGCCAGCAGCATTGCAAGCTGCACAGGCAGCAGCACAAGCAGCAGCACAAGTGGCTCCTCCTGCTCTCTCTGCTTCCACTGCTCCCACTGCGCCCCCAGCTGCTAATGCGCCCTCTGCTTCCCCTCCTCTCCTCATTTCCCCACCTGCCCCTCCTGCGAGCCCTGCCTGAGCCTGCACTCCTGGAAGCTGCATGCCTGCTTGCACGCCCTGCGGCACGCTTGACTGCATGCCTGGGTGCACACTCGTTTGTACGGTCGGTTGCGCTGCAGAAAAGCTCCGCACAAGACCATCCCGATTCCCACTCGTTCCGGCCGCCCCAATCCCCCCACTCGCCTCACTCGTAGTGTACCTGTCAGAGTGGTATTCTTGTCTAGGCGCCTCAATAAGAACAGACGCCCCAGTCACCCCACTAGCAGAGTACCTGGCAGAATGGTGTTTTTGAGGGTCCTCAAGCACAGACGCCCCAATTGCAGTGTGCCTGGCAGAGTGGTGTTTCTGAGGCACATCTAGAGCAGATATCCCACTCGTCACATTCACCCCAATCGCAGGGTACATAGCAGAGTGGTGCTGGAGCGACCTTCTGGGCATGGGCAGCACGCGAGGGGCATCCAGAGGGGCTGAGCTCGTGCGAGGCATGCTCCTGGGGGCCAGGCTGGCATGGGGCATGCCTTTGCCGGCCGCATCAAGAGAAGCAGAGCTGGTGCGAGACACGCCTTTGCTAGATGCATCCGGAGCGTTGGATTCGGTACGGGACATCCCTTGGGATGCAAATAGAGCATGCGCCATGCGGGTCGAATTAGAGCTGGTGCGGGCCATGCTGTGAAAGCCTCGTAGGTACCCTGCTGCCTGGGAGTGAGGGGACGACATTGCTTCTGTTACTGCTGCTGCTGCTGCTGCTGCTGCTGCTGCTGCTGGGCTGCCTGCTGCTAGTCCCAGCCTGAGAGAGCTGGCTGCTGCTTGCTGGGAGGAGTAGGAGGAATGGGAGGAGTGGGATGGGTGCTTGGAGTGGTTGGAGGGGGTGGAGTGGGTGGTGGTGGAGTAGAGTACGGTGCTGCCTTTGAGGTATGCTGGTGGCTGTGAGAATGTCGGCTCTGTGCTTGCCGCCCCTCTCCTGTGGTAAGCCACTGGCTGGGAATGAGGCGACGGGGCTTGGGCTGGCGATGTGGCATGGGCAGGTGACGTGGCATGGGAAGGCGACGTGGCATGGGCAGGTGACGTGGCGTGGGCACTGGAGTAAGGCGGAGCAGCATGCAGATTACCAGTAGAACCACCCATGCCCATGCCCATGCCCATGCCCATGCCCATGCCCATGCCCATACCAACACCTACACTGCTCTCACGAATTCCAAACCCGCTGGCACTTCCAGCACTCCCCCCCCGCACATGTAGTCCCATGCCCCTTCTCCTCCCACTGCTGCTTCCTCCGCTCCCCCGGAGTCCCCCCTGCAGGTCATATTTACTAACCCCCGGGAGATTCCCACTCCTGCTCCCCCCTCCTCCTCCCCATAGGTCATACTTACTGTTACCACCAGGGACACTCGGGCTGCCACTGCTGCTCCTCCCGCTCCCCCGCAAGTCATACCTACCACTACCTCCGCCAGGGAGATTTCCAGGGGGATTCCCACGCCCAGGTGACGTCGTATATGCTTCCGGTATCGGCTCGGACCCGATGGCATACAGCATGCCGGACAGCACGCCAGGTGAAACGCCAGGTGACACACCAGGTGACATGCCAGGTGACTCGTGGGGCGGCATTTGAACCGACATGTGCCGCACCTCAAAGATGGTTTCATGCCCCAGGTTGCTAGGCCCGAACCCAGACAGCATACCGGACTGGTCATACCCCATGCCACCACCCATACCAGACAGCACACTGGGCTGATGGTCATACCCGATTCCAGAGAGCATCGTGGGTTGGCAGAGGATGGAGAGGGAGGAGGCGGCTGCATAGCTGTGCACGGCTGACATAGACCGGATGAGACCAAGCCGGGATGCCCCGGAGAGAGATGCAAAGTGAGGCAGGTTTGCCAGACCTGGCCAGCCCAACCCTACACCACTCAGGTTCCCCGCACCTGCTGCAGCACTAGCACCAGCAGCAGCACCGTTTGCACTCTCCCCAGGATTCCCAGTGTTCCCACCGAAACGCGCACTGCCGCCGAAGCTGCCACTCAGCTTCCGGATCTGTGCCGAGCCTCGCCCGAGGCTGCCTCCCTGGCCCGGGCTCACGAGAGTGGTAAAATGAGGGAGCGCAGAGGGGGAAGCGAGTGCCGGCGAAGCAGCAGCAGCAGCAGCAGCAGCAGAAGGGCGATGGGCGAGAGTAGATGCATGGCTCAGATTTAGATTGATCATTCGAAGCCGCTCTAGACCGTCGGATAGGCTTGAGCGGGGGTGGAGGGGGTTGGCGAGACTGGTGGGATTCGTGGGGCGAGCATACTGGTCTGAGTGGGAACGTTGCTGCAAGGAGTGCACATGTATGTGCGGAGATGCAGCGAGGTGGTGAACGGTGGGAGAAGATGCAGCGGGGTGCTGAGTGGTGCGAGGAGACGCAGAGGGATCCTGCGTTGTAAGAGCAGTTGTCGGCGGCTGTATCTCAGCAGCATTACCAGCAGCAGAGGGCAAGACTGACGTAGGCACACGCCAAGCGTTGAAAGAGAGGCGTCGTCTCCCTCCTCCTCCCTCCACCCGCTCCTTCTTCCCCACACCCTCTTCCTCCTCCTCTTCCTCCTCCTCTACCTCCTCCACTCCCTCCCCACCCCTCACACCTGGTGTTCTTGCTTCTGCTCCTGCTGCTACTGCTTTTGCTACAGTGCCAGCAGCAGCAGCAGCAGCAGCAGCAGCAGCAGCAGCAGGTTGGTGCCTGGCTGTGCGTGTGATGCTCTCCCACACAGAGTTGAGCGACGGAGGGACGTCCACAGAAGACGCCGTGGCCGCAGCTAAGCACAGCATTTCTGAGGAAGGCTCTTCTGGGGCAGGCAGGGCTGAATCAGGAGGAGATGTGCTGGAGGATGGAGAAAGAGAAGCCGGTGCCATGGGATCATACGATCTAGAATCAAGCTCTGTGGCAGTACCCACCACAGCAGCGACCACAGCGCCATTGAAGCTGCCAAACCCACTCCAGGAGGCGCCTGAACCCATACCAGCAGTAGAAGCGGCAGCAGAAGGAGAAATCGAAGTAGGAGAGCTACCACTGGCATCCCCAGTTACCAAGGCATATGCTTCCAGGAAGCTCTGTTGCTGCTGCCCTGGTTGATCTTGCTGCGACTGCTGCTGCTGCTGCTGATGCTGCTGCTGCTGCTGCTGCTGCTGCTGGGAATACTGAGAGTAGCTGGTTGCGGCAGCAAGAACAGCAGCAGACGCAGGGCCCTTGGTTGGTAAGCCACCAGAGCCGCGGTGAGACAGCCGTCCAGACTCACCCAAACGAGGAGACCCACAAACTATTGCAGCAGCAGCAGCAGCAGCAGCAGCAGCAGCAGCAGCACCAGAAGCACCACTCCCAAATGCCTCTGCAACAATTCCTGCCCCTGCTGCTCCTCCTGCTGCTGCGTCCGCTGCTCCTGTTCTTCCTCCTCCTGCCACTTCTCCCACTCCTGCTACAGCTGCTTCTGAGTCTGTAGCAAGCTCTTTGGGCTCTTTGGAGTCTAAGGGTGCTGCCACAGCAGCAGCAATTTGAGGAAAACCAGCTGGCAATATCGAAGAATGCAAGGATTCGTGGGTGGTGATGTGGGCAGGGGAGTGTGGCTGCTGCTGCTGCTGCTGTTGTTGCTGCTGCTGCTGCTGCTGTTGTTCCTGCTGCTGCTGCTGCATCAGCTCTGGAGCTTCTGCTGCAGCAGACGCAACAGGCACTTCCGCAGTGGGTGGGGTGGGAGCCAGCATGGCGAACGAGTTTCGGGACGAGCCTCCGCCCATGGGGTCCCCGTTGAGGGCGTGGGCGAAGCAGGAGAGGATGTGGGTGAGGCGTGAGGCGTGCAGAGGGCGGGTGGTGACGAGCGAGTGGTGCTGCTGCTGCAGGAAGCGACGCAGGCGAGGGTCCACCCCTGGAGGGACTAGCCACGCCACCACGAGAGACTCCGCCATCTGGGAAGCAGGGGGAAAAGAGGGGGAAAGTCAGCAGGAACAAAGCAGAGAGTCCCAACTCAAAAGCCACCTCAAGAGCACACAGAGAAGAGCTCTACCTCACCTGTGGTGTCAGCGTGCGGATGGTGTTGAGATCAGCACACAGCTTCTCCAGCTCAGGCGGCACGAGAAATGGGTGGGCAGCAGGGCTGGTGAGCCCGCCTTCCCCATGCACGTCAGACCGAAGCCGCAACTCACCTGAGGCGTCTGCATGCAGATGGTGATGAGATCAGCACACTGCTTCTCCAGCTCAGAATTGGGCGGGCAGCAGGGCTGCTGAGCCCTCCTTCCCCCCCTCCGTGCATGACAACGTGAGGCAGGTCACTGGCAGCACTCGCCCCCACTGCCAGCGGGTCTTGCTCTGCTGGGTCTACTCCACTCAACTCTCAATAACACCTGGAAGCACTCAGCTCTAAGCATGAAGGACTCAACCAACAAAGCACTCAAGCACCTCACCTGAGGGGTCTGGGTGCGGATTGCGTTGAGGTCAGCACACAGCCTTTCCAAATCAGGAGGGATCAGCAAGGGGCGAACAGCAGGGCTGCTGCTGAGTCCCCCCTCTTGGTGCATGTTGAAACGAGGCAGGTCAGTGGCAGCAGACGCCCCCACTGCCAGTGGATCCTGCTCTGCTGGGGCTAGCAGCGCATTGCACAGGCCGCGGCTTCCTGGAAGCAGCATGATGTCAATGATTGCTAGAATGGGGTAGCTACAGGCGGCAAGCTTGTCTCTCTCTGCCTCTGTGTCTGTGTCTGCGTCTCCTGTGACTGCGACCGTGTCCCTCTCCTCTTCCCCTTCCGCCTCCTCTCTCTCCCTCTCGTCCTCACTCTCCGCCTCTGCTTCCTCCTCCCCGTCGATCTCCAAGTCCTTCTCCTTCCCACCCTCGCTGTCCCTCTCCCTGTCCCCATCCCACGTGTTCGCTCTGTGAGAGAGAACCGCTGGGGCCTCTTGAGCTGCTACTCTCTGCTGTTGAACTGTTTGATTCGCTTGACCTGTTTGACCTGACTGATTGTGGTGGGAGGAGAACGTGTGGTGAGAAGAAAATGTATGGTGGGAGGAGTGCCCAAGGCCAGCCAGAGCAGCAAGAGAAGACGGCAGCATTGATGAGAACTCCATCTTTGCAAGCAACCCCCCCTGGGAAGGCTTTTGAGCCAAGTCAAACGGGGCCAGACGGGATGGAAGCCACCGCCTGCTTCCTCCCCTCTCTCCCTCCCGCGCTCCCTCGTGCCTACCCACACCAGCAGCAGCAGAAGAAGCGTCTCTATCAGCAGCAGCAGCAGCAGCAGCAGCAGGACCCAGGGAGGCACCCACACGCCCTGCAAGCACAATTGGCGCAGTGAACGACCGCCGCCGCGCCTCAGACGACACATACCCCCCGTGCCCTCCCTGAGAACCACTCCCTGCCTCTCCACGCCCCTCTGCACCACTCTGCACCCCTCCGTCTCCCTTTCCAGCCACCCCAGCAGCTGCACTTTTCCTGTGGCCGATGGTGGCAGCAGCAGCAGTGAGGGCAGCGGTTCGGCGGCGCAGCAGGGAGGTGTGGATGGCGTGGTCCAGTGCGGTTTTAATGCTCTCCCACGCCCCCACTTCCCTCACAGCGATTCTCTTGCCCTCCAGCCATTTGGATGCTGTGGCCCTGCCAGGGCATTCATCCATTGCCAAGACCACCTGAACCTGCAATGCAATTCAGGAGAGGACAGGGGAGTTTTTTTTTTCGTCGACTCAAAAGTCACCTGGGCACACATCCATTACCAAGACTACCTGAACCTGCAATTTAGGAGAGGACAGGGGAGAGGAGGGAAGGAAGGACTAACTCAGTGACGAAAATAGACGAGTTGGAGAGGGGAGGGGAGGGAGCCAGGTCGCCCCATGGGTTATCCAACGATGTGAGCTTTGAATCAACTCAAATGTCAGTGGTGGGAACTTCTGAGGCGTCTCAAAAGTGAAATCACTCAGAGAGGTCAGAGGTGGGAACGAGCTTACCTTGCTGTGGTTGAGAGCAGGAGGGGCTGGTCGGGGAGGAGAGCGAACCAGCTCGCCCCATTGTTGATCCGACCGGTCTTCACCAAACCTGGTGGATGGGTGGATGGGATGGGACGATGGGTGGTTGGGTGGATGAGTGGGTGGATGGGATGGGATGGGATGGGTTTCATTTCATGCAGCAGCGTTGCCACCTGCGAATCGGTTCCAGACTCAGCTGGAATAAACGCTCGAGTGCGTCTGAGTATGTGCCATTCGAATGCTCCGAGAACACTCACGCACCTTGGAATGAACGATGCCGATAGATCTGGGTCATCCATACGAGCAGCACCGTCAACAGGACCACCAGCAGCAGCACCAACAGGGGAGGGCATGCAGGGCAGCATGAGGGAGAACCTAATGAGGGCGCCGGGCCCCTCTTTATCAGCAACAGCCACGTGGCCGCCCATGAGCTCCACGAGCCCCTTCACTATGTTCAGCCCCAGCCCCGACCCCGCATGCACGCGCGTGGCCGACTCGTCCACTTGCGAGAAGCTCTCAAACACCTGCTCCCGCTTCTCCGGTGGTATACCACACCCCGTGTCGTCCACCTCAAATATTATCAGAACTCGGTCATCTGCGGCAGGCTCGACTGCTGGACCCTCCCCTCCAGGTGGGCCTTCCCCAGGTGGAACCTCCTCATCACCCGTAGGTGGGCGCTCCCCAGGTGGACCCTCACCAGGTACACCCTCCCCTTCCTCTGCAGCATCCTCAGCTACACCTTCCCCAGCTGACCCTGGACCCATCCCACTGCAGGTTATCCCATCTGTTTGACCTCCAGCCTCCCTCCCCACTCCTTCGCCCCACCCCAACCTTCCTCCTTCCTCAATCACTATATCTACCAGCTCACTCCCCTCTGTGTCGGATTCAGCAGCCGTATCCGCCACCCCTCCCACGCACAGCCCTCTCATAACCTCCCCTGGAGCCCTACGGTTACTGTAGAACCTCACTCCCCCCTCCCGGGTCCCCAGCAGCGGGCTGCTCTGCTCCCTGAAGCTAGCAGAGTGGTTCAAAGAGGAGGTTGAGGAGGAGGGCAGCCCACCTGCACAGGGAAACCCACGTGCGCAGGCAAAGGCTCCTCGCGCTCCCTCACCCCTCCCTCGCGCTCCCCCACCCCTCCCTCCCCCGCCTTCTGTGTATACACCACCTGTGCCTGCTGCTGTCCCTTGCTCTACTCGTTCCCAGCTGCCTGGTAAGCACCCTGCTACTGCCATAATAGGAGCACAGCCATGTGGGTTGCCCCTGTGACCCCTCACGCTCTCTTCATCCTCCTCCTCCCCCTCCTCCTCCTCCACCTCCTCCTCCCCATCCTCAACCCCATCCTCCTCTCGCTCCTCCTCCTCTGATTCTCCTACCAGTGTGATTTCTCTTGGAGCCTGTAAGCTGTGCCTGCTGTGACTACGAGCTGCCCCAGCAGCAGCACTAGCAGTACCAGCAGCAGAAAGAGCATTCCCAACAACACTACCAGCAGCACTGCCAACAGCACTGCCAGCAGATGCAGCAGAGGCGAGAGCAGGGGGAGCAGGCGCAGCAGCAGGAGGATGCGGCTTGTGGGGGAGGAGGGCGCTGAGAGCGCTCATTCGCACAGAATATATGTCTGCGCCGCTCTCCAGGGCTGTCCGTGACTGGGAAAGGGAGGGAGAAGGAATGTTGGTTCAGTGAGAAAGGGAGGGAGAAGGAGTGTTGGTTCAGTGAGAAAGGGAGGGAGAAGGAATGTTGGTTCAGTGAGAAAGGGAGGGAGGAGTGTTGGTTCAGTGAGAAAGGGAGGGAGAAGGAATGTTGGTTCAGTGAGAAAGGGAGGGAGAAGGAGTGTTGGTTCAGTGAGAAAGGAGGGAGAAGGAATGTTGGTTCAGTGAGAAAGGGAGGGAGAAGGAGTGTTGGTTCAGTGAGAAAGGGAGGGAGAAGGAATGTTGGTTCAGTGAGAAAGGGAGGGAGAAGGAGTGTTGGTTCAGTGAGAAAGGAAGGGAGAAGGAGTGTTGGTTCAGTGAGAAAGGGAGGGAGAAGGAGTGTTGGTTCAGTGAGAAAGGGAGGGAGAAGGAGTGTTGGTTCAGTGAGAAAGGGAGGGAGAAGGAGTGTTGGTTCAGTGAGAAAGGGAGGGAGAAGGAGTGTTGGTTCGGTGAGAAAAGGGGGAGGTTGGAGAAGGAGAGGCAGATCACAAAACCATCGCTATTCACTCACCATGGCGATAGTATTTGGAGTGTGCACGACCCATGCGCGCACGTGAATGTACCCCTGCTCCGTGAACTTGACACTGTTGGACAGCAGGTTGCTGAGCACCTGGCGGAACCGCATTGCATCCCCCAGCACCATGTCCGGGAGGTCGTCTGCGAGATCCATGGAGAGGTCAACCCCGCTGCTGATGCAGTGCACTGCAAACATGTCCAACAATGTTTCCATCTCCGTGACTATACTGAAGGGCGCTAATGTGAGCTCCAACGCGCCCACCTCCACCTGAAAAGAGGGGCCGGGGATCGCACAGGGAGGGAGGGACCAGCAGGGTGGTGTTTGAGTCGGATCAGAAGCACATTGTTGGACAGCAGGTTGTTGATCACTTGGTGGAACCGCAGGTCGTCTGCGAGATGAGATCCATGGAGAGGTCCACCCAGCTGCCAATGCAGTGCACTGAAAACATGTCCAGCAGCGTCTCCATCTCTGTGACTATACTGAAGGGCGCTAGGGTCAGCTCCAGTGCACCCACTTCCACCTGAGAGGAGGGGAAGGAACGCGCGGGGAGAGGGAGGGTTGTAAGGGATTGATCGCATGCACTGCATTGCACGCATGTCCAGCAGCAGTGTCACCATCTCCGTGACTATACTGAAGGGCGCCACACTGAGCTCCAGCGCACCAACCTCCACCTGAAGGGGCGAGGGAGGGAGGGAGGGGAGGAAACGTGCAGGTAGGGACTGTCAGGGTGGAGAGGAGCAGGTGCGTTTTGGGCTGTGGGGACGGGTGAGGTGAGGGTTTTTTGGACCTTGGAGATGCGAGGATGCTGTTGATGAGGGCGAAGAGGCCAGGTGCCTACTGAGCCGACTCATTAAACGACTCCCACTTTACTTGCACGTGGTCACAAGAAGAGACAGGACAGACCTTGGAGATATCAAGGACGTTGTTGATGAGGGCGAGCAGCCCCGAGGCACAGCGCTTCATCTGCAGCACCTCAAACTCGCCTCAAGAGCAGACAGCGCAGGGCACACAGCGCAGGGCACACAGGGCAGGGCACACAGGGCAGGGCACACAGGGCAGGGCACACAGGGCAGGGCACACAGGGCAGGGCTTAGGGCAGGCCTGTCTGACCTTGGAGATGTCGAGGACGTTGTTGATGAGGGCGAGCAGGCCCGAGGCGCAGCGCTTGATCTGCAGCACCATGGCCTCCTGCTCGGGGGAGAGCGCGTCGCACGCCAGCAGGTCCAGCAGCCCTATGATGCCCGCCAGGGGGGTGCGCAGCTCGTGGCTGTGTGTGGAGAGGGGAGGGAGATGAGAAGAAAGACCCAGATAAGGGACGCTTGAAGACTTGATTATACGCATCGGAAATCTCCACACACACACACACACACACACACACACACACACACACACACACACACACACACACACACACACAAACAAAAAAACACCAGAAGAAGTAGAGGTGGGCTCACCTCATGTTGGCGAGGAACTGGCTCTTGTGGTTGCTGCGCTGCTCCACCCTGTGCTTCTCCACCAGCTGCCGCACCAGCTCCTGGACACACATAACGGAGGGAGCAGGCAGGTGTAGGAACCGCCGTAAGGGAGTGAACAGACAGTATTTTAGGCGCCTTGAGTTGAGTTTATAACAATGGGAAGAGAAGGCATGGGGGAGGAACAGCACAATAGCCCAAGCCACACAGTCAACAGCACCACTCAGCTTCCGTCTCACCTGTCGCAGTGTCTGGCCAGTTCGAGCTAAGTCCGTGGATCTATTCATGCAGACGAGCAGCAAGCCTATAACGAGGACGACCAGTGGCAGGGCTATGCAGAGCGCCCTGACAGTGTCACTGCCAGAACCCAAGGGCGCGAGGATAAGAGCCGACGGCACTATGGAGATCACCATCAGCGCATCACCCTGCTGCTGCTGCTGCTGCTGCTGCACCGGCCCCTGTAGGCTCGAAGCAGAGGCAGAGGCGTTGACAGTGACAGGGCATGCGTCCACATAGTACTGCTGCTCGGTACCCCCAGTGGTGGTCTTGGCGATAGTCTGGGGGGTAGTCTCCGCGGGGCTGCTAAAAGTAGCCCCCAAGCTTTCCAGGTTCGCGGAGTTTCCAAGGTTTCCAGGGTTTGTGGTTTTCCCCAGGGGGACAGGGGCGGGGGAGAAGAAGCAGGCAGAGAGGAGCTGGGAAGGGGAGACTGCGGAAGCGAGGTACTGTGCTGCAGCAGATGCAACAGGGCTTGCTGACGTGGCAGCGTCGGATAGGCTGGGGTCGGTGGGTTGTGAAGGAGCGACGGTGTAGAGTAAAGTGTTATTGGTGATTCTGGCGAGGAGTATGTGTGTGTGCAAGTGTCCCGACGAGTCCTCTCCAGGAGAGGCTCCTGAGAAGGAGACGAAGGTTCCTTGTAGTGCAGATGCTGGCTGAGCACCAGAGGAGGAGGGTAAACTAGCAAGGGCTGCGTCCATGCCTGCAGATACGCCCTGCACCAGCTGCACCCGCATGTTACGGCCCATGTGGGTGAGGGATGATGTGGTATAGGAGCGCATCAGCAACCATGTGAGGAACATGCAGCCTGCAACGAGGATACAGACAAGAATCTGGTGGAGGGGAAGGCGGAATGGTAAAGGACAGGGGGGAAGGGAAGGGAAGGGAAGGGAGAATGGGGGAAATGGGAGAAGGGAGCACGTGAGGAACAGAGAGGAGGCGGATGCATAGTGAAGCAGGGGAAGACTTGTTTTAGGCGCCTCAAAAGACGAAATTTGAGGTGCCTTGAAAACAAATTAGAGGTGGCGGTTGGAGAGGGAAGCAAGGGAAGACGGGAGGAGCACATGAGCGAGCATGCGAGGAAGAAGCAAGATGTCACCCACAGGTGGAGCTTAGAGGGAGGAGGAACGGAGTGGGTGAAGGATGGGCTCCATAAGAGGGATGGGGAGGGTTGAGGGGTTTGGGAATGGAGGGGCCTTGACTGAAAGGGGGTGAAAGACGGGAGGGTAGAAGAGACGGGCGAAAGGGAAGGGACCAGAAAGGAGCACCTGTCGGCAAATGTGATGTGATGTGATGATGTGATGTTACGTGGCGACCAAGTCTGCATTCTCCTTACCACAGCTGCCAGTCGTCTCATGAGCACAGGCCGCTTCTTCACAGCCCGAATAATCCGCCGACCCACCCTTCTAAAACCCTTTTTCAGGCCATCCCCTTTCCTCCACAGCTCCCCCTCCCCGTCGCTCCCATCCGGGAAGCTTCTGGGAAGGACTTCTTTCATGAGTGCGTCGCTAAATGACACGGAGGGTGCTGCTGACGTGTCCACCACGACCTGATCCAATGGGGACGCGCCATGTGGATGGTTATGTGCCGAGTGCCAGAACCTGTGCGAGGCAGTGGGATGGGGATGTGGGCTTGCAAGCGAATCAGGCAGGGAGAGCAAAGAAAAAAATATTGGTAGACTAAGATGCGCGTCTAATTACGCTCGATTACACCTGAACCTGGGCTTCTGAACGCCCTTCTTGGTCCCTAATAATTCATCTACGCTCTCTACCACCGCTCTGGACCACTTGTTATTCTACCTGACACAGTGTTAACTTCGAGGGTTTACTTGGATGGCACATGCCTATAGGTGGGATGTGAAGACCGCAGAGAATTTGCTGAATATGCAGTAAGTACACACACCGTAACGTACCCTTGTGACTCTCTACTGTGCGAATCATTCAGAGCCGCGGAATCAGCACCGCTATAATCACGCTCGTCCAAAGGCAATTCTCCACCTCCACGGTTCTGCGCTTCGAAACCGCCCTCCTCGTTCCCCCTTCCCTCGTGCTCCTCCCCGCGTTCTCTCCCCGAGCTCCCCTCAACTCCCCGCTCATCCTCCTCCTCATGCCGGGTCCCGATAAAAATGGCCGTCAATCTCCGCCATCCTCGCCGTCTCGGGCCTCGCGCGCATCTAACGTCCCTCGGGGACAGATCAGAGCCGTCCGATCCGCTCCACTGGGACGAGGTCGACGTCACGGTGCCTCCGTGACCGTCCATGACGATGAAACTCTACCAGAAGGGACGCTGTAGCCTTGAAATTTGGCACCTTCTTGGACTACGACCCATAGTTCAACTTCTGCCGTGAACGAGTCGCCAGCGAAATAGGTAACCTACGCGGTTTCTTATATCGTGCCGTATACAGGCAGGCCACATTCTCTGGAACCTTGGAACCGAACACCTCTGCCCATCAATGTCAAACTCGAATTTTAGGGCCTGAATGACGCTACTTTCGATAACATCCTAGAATACGTTGTATCAAAAAGACGTGCTGATGAATAAACGAACTCGCTTTCGAGAACACCAAGTGCTCTCACAACTTAATCTGACCTGCATTCTGACAGAACCTGCCGAGCTTGCCATCAATCCCTGCTGTTCATCTGATGTATCACTTTCCTCTGGCTACAATGGCTTCATGCTTGGCCAACGTTGCTTCGCAACTCTTGTAGTTAACGAGGACTCCTGAGAAAAGAATCCTACCGTCGGACGCGCAGTAGGAGAAGCATACGTCCGTCTAGTCGTCAGCACGCACCCGGAGTCACTAACTAACACGCATTGTTGGAACTTATCGACTCGGAATAGCATTACCGCCAAACCAATCTAACCTTTTCACTCAGGAGCTGTTGTTGCGAATTAACACTTGCTTACCTCGTTCCCCTGCTATACACATATACACTACCAACTAAGCGTGGAGGATATTAGCTTGCACTGGACCGCTACAATCTAAACGGCGATTTGTAGCCCTAATTCTGTGTTGGCTGCCGCTAAACTGAAAGACCTAGGAAACCGAACTGAACAGCAACTGTAGTGGCTAGCAACTGAAGTGCTATGACATAGAATTTTTGTGTAATTTTCTTATGAACCGTTTTATAAAGAAAAGGAAACGCTTTGAGAAGCCGAGAAATCTACTCAACCGCAAAGCAAGTGAATTGTTGCACTTGCACAGCCACTTGCAGTAAGGGGAACGGCACTGCAGGCAGGAACCATTTCTCCAGCAAGCTTCCAACAATTCCCAACCGATTGTGGTGGATGACTTGGTTCAACAGTGGATGACGCTAAGGCAAGCAGCAGGGGATGGTTGGCGCGTTGACGACGACATCAAGCGATGAGCGACGCGACGCGACATGATTGAGGTTGAGGGAAAGCTGGCGAGCAACCGAATCACACTACGCCTCTATGATTCGTGGGAATTCAAGGTGGAGCAAATTGTCAGAGACCAAGTGGATTTTGGTGACATGTAATAAAGTCGATCCGTAATCGTAAGGCTGAAAGTAGGACATGTCAGCAATCTTGCATTTTCTTCGCACGTGAGAGAAAACTCCGGGGACCACGGCGGGGCAATCCGTCGGCCGCTGATGACCGGAGAACGGTTATGATCGACGCGATGTCTGGAACAGTGACTGAAAGATCGAAGACCACACTGCTCACGGGTTAGGCAGGCGGAGAATCTTTCGGTGCCCCCTGCTCAACAGTTCCGATGCTGTTGAGTGGGTGGACGACTCGCCGAATATATCTCAGCGGACAAGCGAGTCCGCCCGGGGGAGCTCACATGTTGAAAATCTTAAAACATCAGTGATGGTCAAACCAGAAAACAAAAATATGCAAAGCATGCTTCTAAAAAAACTTACTTGGCTTCATTGATGCTATTGACTATCACTTGTCGCTTGCTTCACAATTACACCATAGCAAAGTACGTTACCACATATACCTTCAAGAAACCTGAGATCCAGAACTCTATAGCAGCCACATTACTCAGGTAACCGTAACTAGAGAGCTGCATCAGTTTTAGCTTCAAAGGCACAAGGCTCGCCGACTGGGGCATTTAAACCCAATCAGATTTAAAAGATGTTACACTAACTTTATTGGTGATTCTGGCGAGGAGTATGTGTGTGTGCAAGTGTCCCGACGAGTCCTCTCCAGGAGAGGCTCCTGAGAAGGAGACGAAGGTTCCTTGTAGTGCAGATGCTGGCTGAGCATCAGAGGAGGAGGGTAAAATAGCAAGGGCTGCGTCCATGCCTGCAGATACGCCCTGCACCAGCTGCACCCGCATGTCACGGCCCATGTGGGTGAGGGATGATGTGGTATAGGAGCGCATCAGCAACCATGTGAGGAACATGCAGCCTGCAACGAGGATACAGACAAGAATCTGGTGGAGGGGAAGGCGGAATGGTAAAGGACAGGGGGGAAGGGAAGGGAAGGGAAGGGAGAATGGGGGAAATGGGAGAAGGGAGCACGTGAGGAACAGAGAGGAGGCGGATGCATAGTGAAGCAGGGGAAGACTTGTTTTAGGCGCCTCAAAAGACGAAATTTGAGGTGCCTTGAAAACAAATTAGAGGTGGCGGTTGGAGAGGGAAGCAAGGGAAGACGGGAGGAGCACATGAGCGAGCATGCGAGGAAGAAGCAAGATGTCACCCACAGGTGGAGCTTAGAGGGAGGAGGAACGGAGTGGGTGAAGGATGGGCTCCATAAGAGGGATGGGGAGGGTTGAGGGGTTTGGGAATGGAGGGGCCTTGACTGAAAGGGGGTGAAAGACGGGAGGGTAGAAGAGACGGGCGAAAGGGAAGGGACCAGAAAGGAGCACCTGTCGGCAAATGTGATGTGATGTGATGATGTGATGTTACGTGGCGACCAAGTCTGCATTCTCCTTACCACAGCTGCCAGTCGTCTCATGAGCACAGGCCGCTTCTTCACAGCCCGAATAATCCGCCGACCCACCCTTCTAAAACCCTTTTTCAGGCCATCCCCTTTCCTCCACAGCTCCCCCTCCCCGTCGCTCCCATCCGGGAAGCTTCTGGGAAGGACTTCTTTCATGAGTGCGTCGCTAAATGACACGGAGGGTGCTGCTGACGTGTCCACCACGACCTGATCCAATGGGGACGCGCCATGTGGATGGTTATGTGCCGAGTGCCAGAACCTGTGCGAGGCAGTGGGATGGGGATGTGGGTTTGCAAGCGAATCAGGCAGGGAGAGCAAAGAAAAAAATATTGGTAGACTAAGATGCGCGTCTACTTACGCTCGATTACACCTGAACCTGGGCTTCTGAACGCCCTTCTTGGTCCCTAATAATTCATCTACGCTCTCTACCACCGCTCTGGACCACTTGTTATTCTACCTGACACAGTGTTAACTTCGAGGGTTTACTTGGATGGCACATGCCTATAGGTGGGATGTGAAGACCGCAGAGAATTTGCTGAATATGCAGTAAGTACACACACCGTAACGTACCCTTGTGACTCTCTACTGTGCGAATCATTCAGAGCCGCGGAATCAGCACCGCTATAATCACGCTCGTCCAAAGGCAATTCTCCACCTCCACGGTTCTGCGCTTCGAAACCGCCCTCCTCGTTCCCCCTTCCCTCGTGCTCCTCCCCGCGTTCTCTCCCCGAGCTCCCCTCAACTCCCCGCTCATCCTCCTCCTCATGCCGGGTCCCGATAAAAATGGCCGTCAATCTCCGCCATCCTCGCCGTCTCGGGCCTCGCGCGCATCTAACGTCCCTCGGGGACAGATCAGAGCCCTCCAGCTCTTCCTCGCTCCCTTGTAGCACCTCCTCCTCGACATCCTCGCTATAATCATCCTCGCTAGTGCCATCCTCGTTATCCTCATCCTCGTTTGGGCTGTCCTCCCCCTCCTCCTCCTCATTCCCTTCCTCCCCCTCTTGATCGTCATCCCTCCCCGCATCACCTCCCTTCTGCATTCTCTCATCCACATCATCCTCCATGTCGTCATCCTCCGCGTCATCATCATCATCCGCCACGTCATCCTCCACGTCATCCGCCCACCCATCAAATAGAGCCGATCTGCTGCTCTTATTCCCCCCATATTCCCGCCCCTCCATTACCAAATTCCCGCGCAAGCTTAGCCCCTTCTCCTTGACCGTGGACCTGCGCTCCCCGCGTTTCCGCCCTGCGCCATCCTCCCCCTGGCGCACGACTCCGGCTTCCGCCGCGCCCCATCCTTCCGCCGTCTCCGCCGACTCATCTCCGCCAAAGATCGCGCGCGCCTCTGCGCCGAACCCCTGCGCGTCTTCAGGATCCTCGTGGCCCGCGGTGGGCGCGGGGGTTAGCAGCTCCGCTAACTGCTCCGATAAAGGCTTCTTCCGACTAGACATAATTTTTCGTCAGGAGAGAATCTCAAAGTTTAAAGCCCGCGTCCCAAATTGCGGGCCGCGAGGGTCAAGTTTTTAAAACTTGACGAAGTTGAGTGTCCAAGCTTTTGAAAGTCACGCACTTGCAATTTGGGACTTTCGAAGACAGATTCACTCACCAGGGGGAAAACCGAGGGTTGGCTGGGTCTCGCGAAAAAAACGAACCTAGACGAAATCGGAAACTCTCGCCAAAGCCCACACCAGAAAAACTCCCTCTGGTCAACTTTTAAAAGCATGAACAATTTGGGCCGCCGAGCAACAGATTTATCTACGAGGACCAAATGAAGGGGAGGATGGGTGACAATGAAATTGAAAAACCTGAGGGTATGCGAAAACCTTGAGCCAAAATTGCTGACCCCCTGTTCGGGTTTTGTGCGAGACAGAACTACACCAAGCTAGAGAGGCACTCGATTCCCGTGCTTTTGATGAGAAACACTGTAGAGGAAGTTCAGCGTCTGTAAATGATAAAAAAAATGGTCTGTTTCTAGTCCAGTGAGATGTACTGTCTCAAGAAAGTAAAATACTAAGTGGTTAGCTAATCATATTTTTTTTTTCCGCTGATTAAAGACACATTTTCTCATTCATCCCGTTTCGCGTCCACAAGCATAATCGATTGAGAGCATTTCCCCAAACCCTCCCCCAACCCACCACCTCCCCCACCAACGCCTTCACCCCAGCACGCATCATTCACTATCAGAGGACCGTCCAGGAGGCGTGGCAGCACCAGGTTCAGCTGGCTCCTCCTTCACCACCCCCACATGCTGCTGCCCTACCCCATGCTCTGCCCCCTCCACCACCCCACAGGATTCGCAGCACGCATCATTCGCTATCGGAGGAACCCCCAGGAGGAGTGGCAGCCCCCGGTTCAGCTGGTTCCTCTTTCACCACTCCCACTCCCTGCTGCCCTGCCCCGTGCTCTGCCCCGTGCTCTGCCTCTTCCAGTAGCTCCTGCTTCACTCGCTGCCCCTCCCTCGCTTGCTCCACCAGCTCAGTTTTCACTCGCACGCTCTCTGATGTTCCCGCAGCAGGCGCAGGAGCAGCAGCAGGAGCAGGAGCAATAGGAGCAGCAGCAGCAGTAGCCACCGGTGCCACTACTGGTGGTTCAGGTGTTACCGCTTCAGGAGCGGCTGCCGCTGCTGCGGCAGGCTCTGTTGCTGGTGCTACAGCTGTTGCTGCTGCTGGTGCTGCTGATGCTACTGGTGCAGCTAGTGGCGGCATCAGTCCCGCTGGTGCTGCGGGTGGTGGTCCTCTCCCTGCTGCTGGTTCAGCTACAGCTGCTGCTGCTGCTCCTCCTGCTGCTCCTGCTGCTGCCACTGATGGTGGCATCAACCCTGCAGGTGCTGCAGGTGGTGGGCCTCGTGCTACTTCTGGTTGCACTGCCTCCCCAGCCTCCTCTTTCACCCTCACATGCTCTTCTACACCTTGCATTCCCTCTCCCTCTCCCCACTCCTCTGCTTCCTCTCCTTCCTCGCCCTCTACCTCCTCATCCCGCTCCCGCTCCTCCGCTCCCCCTTTCTCCCCCTTCTCCCCAGCCTCTTCCACCCCCTCCTTCCTCCCACCCTTCCCCTTTCCCTCCCCTCCCGTCCTCCCTCCCCGCCCACCTCCCCGCCCCCTGCCCCTCCCACCGCCCCTCCCTCGCCCGCTCTTGTGCTGCTTCCGCTGCAGCCTCTGCTGCTGCTGCAGCCGCGCCAGAGCTTCCATGTGAGCATGCACCTCCATCTGCCGAGCCTGCTCCCGCACCTGCAGCTGAGCCTGAGCCTGTGACTGTGCATGGGCATGGGCATGTGCCTGTGCCTGCATGTGCATCTGTGCTTGTGCCTGCATGTGCATGTGTGCCTGTGCATGCATGTGTGCCTGTGCATGCATGTGTGCCTGTGCATGCATGTGTGCCTGTGCATGCATCTGTGCCTGGGCTTGCCCTGGCAGCACAGGAGACGGCACCTGCCCCACATGCACCCCATGCCCCGGAAGCATCTGCACAGGCGACCGCACTGGCATTTGCCCTTGCATGGCCCCGTGCGGTGATGCATGTGGCTGACCTTGCATTTGCCCTTGCATTTGCCCTTGCATGGCCCCGTGCGGTGATGCATGTGGCTGACCTTGCATTTGCCCTTGCATTTGCCCTTGCATTTGCCCTTGCATTTGCCCTTGCATTTGCCCTTGCATTTGCCCTTGCATTTGCCCTTGCATTGGGGACTGCCCCTGTTCCTGTCCCTGTCCCTGGGTCTGCCCCTGTGCTTGTGCCTGGGCGTGTTTCAGCTGCTGGACTTGTTGCATCCACGCCTGCTGCTGCTGCGCGAGTGCTGCTTGCTGCTGGGCCCCTGGCATGTTCTGCAGAATGTACTCCTGTGCAAGGGGGAGCAAACGAAACAGGTTGAATAAACAATTAACAGTTGCAGAGAAAAGACAAGAGCAAGAAAGACACAAAAAAACATACGCAGTATTGAGCGGGGAACCCCCCCTCCAAAAAAAAGGGCGCCACATACTGCACTTGAGAAGTCAACCTTCCCCTCTCGTACCGTCCCCCCACCCCACCCCACCTTCCTCATTCCCATCCTGTTTCTACCCGTCGCCACCGTCTCACCTGCTCAGTCACGTTCTGCAGCCGCCACTCCACAATCCTAGCCATCTCCTCAATCCCCGGCACCAGATACGCCCCCTCACTCCCCTCCCCTGCCGGCCTCTCCGTCCTCCTATTCCCTTCCTCCAGCACCAGCCCGAGTCTATCCGGGCGCTGCAGCAGCAGCTGGAAGGTGGGCTGCAGCTCGTAGCACTGCTCAAAGAGCGAGCGGCGGCAGAAGCAGTAGAGACCGAGGCGGGCACGGGACATAGCGACGACAAGGCGGCGCACGTCGCGCAGGTGGCCGACGGTGCGCGTGCGCACGAGGGAGAGCAGAATGTAGTCGTTCTGCTGTCCCTGAAAGCGATCCACCGTCGTAATCTGGTATGGTGAGCGGGAGGAGGGCGAGCAGATAGGAACAGGAAGAACGGGCAGGAAAATTATGGGATGGGCATGGTTTCATAGTACTCAGCACTAGCGGGGGCAGAAGCAGAGGAGGCCGAGGCGGGCGCACGCCACGCAGGTGGCCGACAGTGTGCGTGCGCACGAGGGGGAGCAGAATGTAGTCATTCTGCTGGTCCTGAAAGCGATCCACCGTCGTCACCTGGTGTGGTGAGTGGTGAAGAGTGGCGGAAAGTGGTGGAGCGTGATGGAGAGGTAAGACTGGGTGAGCAAGTGGATGGGTATGTGACAGGGAGAGCAGGGAGCAAAAGAAATGTTACCACCAGATTAGGACAGCAATACCACCCACTTACCTTGCTGGGACGGCCGAAACATGGGTTCCCGGCGCATCTCCTCTGGATCACATCCCTGATCAGATGCTTCTGTCCGTTGTACGTCGTCAGAATCGAGATCTTCTCGGCCGGATACCCCAGCAGCCGCATGTACTGAAACACGCTCACCACATACTCAGCCTCGCCCAAATTCTGGTAGAACCACGGGTTTTGCTCACTCTCCCCTCTCCCCATCCAATCCCCCACATCCACAAGCTGATACTCCCACGCAAACCCCCCGTTCGCCTGCACATACTCCTCTCCGGTTTTCACCACCGGCAAATCCCCCAGATCCCGGTATCGCCAGTTGTAGAGCTGGGCGATGGAGGGCCGGGCGCGGCCCTGGGCGTTGAGCTCTATGTAGGGGACTCCTAGGCGGACGAAGCGGGTGAAGAGGCTCTGATCCATGCGCGAGTACTTCTGAAAGGCCATGTTTTTTACGACGGGGGGCAGCTGGTTGTGGTCTCCGATTAGGATGCAGCGCTTCAGGCGAGAGTAGGACAAGGCACCGTTGCTGCCACCACCACCAGCCGCACCACCAGCAGCAGCCGCCGCACCGGAAGCAGCAGCAGAGGTGCTGCCCGTGCCGCCGACGGTTCGGGAGGGGCCGTCGGGGCGTTGCAGCAGCATGGGGATGAAGGTTTCGATCTCGAGGATCTGCGCCGACTCCTCCATGAGCAGGTTGTCAAAGTGGAACCCGAGGTTCAGGAAGTCCCGGCGCTTGAGCGCCGCGTGCGTGCACGTCATGGCCACCACCTTGGCCTGGCGTGCCATCAGGTAGTTGGAGCGGTCTGCTGTGGTCTTGAATAACTCAAACGCCCGACACTCCTCCAGCTCCTGTGAGGTGGCAGGAGAGAGTGGGAAAGAAGCAGTAAAAGAACGGGGACATGTTTCAAAGGGGAAGTGAGGTAGAGCCGCGTGCGTGCACGTCATGGCCACCACTTTGGCCTGGCGTGCCATCAGGTAGTTGGACCGGTCTGCTGTGGTCTTGAACAGCTCGAACGCACGGCACTCCTCCAGATCCTGCGCAGGAGAAAAGGGGTGGAGGAGGGGAGAAAAGGGGTGGAGGAGGGGAGAAAAGGGGTGGAGGAGGAGAGAAGAGGATCTGGGCTGACTCCTCCCTCCCTCCTCCCTCCATGAGCAGGTTGTCAAAGTGGAACCCGAGGTTCAGGAAGTCCCGGCGCTTGAGCGCCGCATGCGTGCACGCCATGGCCACCACTTTGGCCTGGCGCGCCATCAGGTAGTTGGAGCGGTCTGCTGTGGTCTTGAATAACTCAAACGCACGGCATTCCTCCAGCTCCTGAAAGGAGAAGAACGGGGAGCGTCATGGGACAGTGGGTGCAGAGCACAACCAGTACAGAGCACATTCAATGCAGGTTCAAAGCAATGGCACACTGAACGTACCCAAAGCGTAAGGCCCACCTATTAAAGCCCACCTGGAACATGCCCTTGAGGAACTCGAAGCAGCTCTCAGCCATGCGAATGTCCTGTGCGTACGACCCCCCTGTCAACTTAAAGCCCACCTGAAATTCCCAATGCCTTCCAACCCCACATGTCTTGGCCTTAAAGCCCACCGTCTAAAGCCCGCCTGGAACATGCCCTTGAGGAACTCGAAGCAGCTCTCCGCCATGCGCATGTCCTGTGCGTACGACCCGCCCGTCATCTTAAAGCCCACCTGAATCTCCCATTGGCTTAAACCCCCACATGCCCTAAAGCCCACAACTTAAAGCCCACCCCTTAAAGCCCACCTGGAACATGCCCTTGAGGAACTCGAAGCAGGTCTCTGCCATGCGCATGTCCTGTGCGTACGAAGCCCCTGTCATCTTAAAGCTCGGTGCCTCCTGGAAGAACTCGGTGAAGGGGAAGGTGTCGCGCACTATGGTTGCTGCCCTGCTGCCCCCCCCACTGCCCCCAGCCGCAGCCGCAGCAGCAGCGGCAGCACCGGAGGAAGCAGGAGCAGGAGCAGCATCTGTGGCATCCTGCATTGACACATCCTTCGTGCCCTCCTCGCCACCAGCAGCAGCAGGGGCAGCAGGAGTGGCATCAGCAGCAGCAGCAGCAGCAGGAGCAGCAGGAGTAGCAGGTGCAGGTTCAGCAGCAGGTGTGGGCTCAGCAGAGGGCGCAGCATCGCGGACCGACTCACACTTGGCCACAAATGCCTCCCACCTGACATACACGCACATACACACATGGTATCAGCGAGATCAGCGACACACAGACATACATGCACACAGGCACGTTATCAAGACGGTAGGAGCAACATTACAAATCCCCACCATGTCAGTTACAAAGTGGGCTCACCACAGTCATTGCTGCTCCTGCCTAAGGCAAATACGATTGGCGTCTTGCCTCACCAGCACTTGCAGCAGCCGAAAGCAGACAGCAAATGGCTTCTTGTAGACGCGTGCAGTTGTAGGCGCGTGCAGTTGTAGGCGCGTGCAGTTGTAGGCGCGTGCAGTTGTAGGCGCGTGCAGTTGTAGGCGCGTGCAGTGCGTTCACACGCGCATGCTACAACAGATGGCCACACGGTGTTTTCGTGGTGTCTGATGATCTAGATGAGTAGGCAAACCACCACTAGCTCCTTACCTCGCCAGGACATGCAGCAGCCAGAAGTAGGCGGCACTCTCACACGTGTACGCCACGTCAGACGGCCGCCCAAGAGTCACTGCCAGACGCTCCACCTGGGCGAGAGTGGGGGTAAGCGGAGTGTGAGTCACGAATACAGCATGCATCAGAACGAATCGCCAGCAGGGATGGGGTTACGTCTTTTGAGGAGCCTAAAAAATCACGACAGCATCATGCATGGGAAGAAATACCACGCAGAAATCGGGTTACGTCACCCACTCCCTAGAGCGCCAAGTCTGAATCCTGGATCCCATCATTATAATCCCTGACAACTGATTCTAACCACGATAACCACAAAACAGCACAGCACGCACCCCGGCCAGCCAGCAGTATATTTTTTAGGCGCCTCGAAACTAGACCCCAGCCAGGCGGCAGCATATAACACCAAGCGTTCAGCGCGTTCTCCCGCTCTCCCACGCACTACCTGTACAAGCCCTAATGCCACACTCTCCATACCTCGGCCAGCAGCTCAAGGCGCCGAGCGAGCATGTCATTGACTCGCCCCATGCGGCTAAACTTCTGCTCCGTGTCCAGCTCCTGCTCGCCCATGCCCTTGCCACCCCACCCACCCCCTGCTGTTGCCAGGCGGCTCTAGCTGCTGGCTGAGCCTGCGACTTGATGCACTCCCTTGAATACCCACCTCGGCCAGCAGTTCAAGGCGCCGGGCGAGCATGTCGTTGACTCGCCCCATGCGGCTGAACTTCTGCTCCGTGTCCAGCTCCTGCTCGCCCATTCCCAGCCGCAGCATGTAGCGTGCTGGCACATCCCGCTGAATACAGATGGGAAGGAAAGGGGGTGAAGCAACCGTGGGTGATGGGAAGGGGTTGAGTTCATCTCCTGCCCACCTGCTCACACATTACCCACCTGCTCACACATTACCCACCTGCGTAACGCTTTTGATCGCAACGAATTCACAGATTTTGCATAACAACACACAAAACCACACCACAAAGCACAGCATCGCACTGCACTGCACTGTACCACACTGCACCCACCTGCATGATCTTCTCAAAGAGGTCGTTGAGGGCCTGGTTGGAGTGAGTGATGACCAGCGTGCGCTGCTCGGGGCAGTTGTGGTAGAGCACCTGCGAGGCGAGGAAAAAGAGGAAAGGAATCAGGAATAAATAAATTAATTAATTTTTAAAAAAGAAAGGAAAAAAAAAAAAAACGCACAATTCGCTTTTGTGGCAAACTTGCACTGTACTACTGCCTGATCAGTTTGATTCCCGTGATCAACTAGTGGATGAACAACTCACCTGCAGGATCTGCACGGCCGTATCCGTCTTGCCTGTGCCCGGCGGCCCCACTATCATGGTCAGCCCGGGTTGCACCCCGCTGATGATGGCATCCACCTGATGAGAGGCGGTGGAGAGGGGTGTGACAGGGTGACGAGATGTGGTCGGGAGTGGTGAGAGGAGGTGGAAAGATTTGGTGGGGAGAGGTGAGAGGCGGTGGGAGGAGGTGGGAGATGCAGCAGAGGGAAGTGAGAGGGGCAGTGAGACGAGATCACATGCAGCAAGGGAACACAAAACCGTGAGAGAAGGGAGGAGACTATGGTACCTGCGTGGGTGTGAAGCGCACGTGGTTCTTCCTCTGCTTCCCCGGAGGGTACGGCCCAGGGTCAGGCAGTTGCACAGACTCCGCAATCACCACCCCCTCACCCTCCTCCTGCCCTCCCTGCTCCCCCTTGTCTCCCTGCTCTCCCTGCTGAGGCGCCTTGTCTCCCCCATCTCCGCCCTTCGATTTTTCCTCATCCACCTCCGTATGCTCCCCTTCCTGCTTCTCCCCACCCTTCTCCTCCTCCCCTCCCTTCCCCTTCCCCCTCTTCTTCCCTTTCATCCCCTTCTTCCCCTTCCCCTTCCCCTTCCCCTCCTTCTCCTGCCCCTTCTTCTTCCCTCCCACTGCCACTCCACGCCCCTCCTCTTGCGGCGGCTTTGGCATCGGTATAGTCACGCGGAACGGAGGCTGGGGGTTAGGGTTCTCAAACCCATCCGCATCCACAAAACGGACCTTAAAGCCCGGGAAGCACTCCTTCAAATGCTCTGCATCCACAAAAGTGTCCCTAAAATCCACCACCTCCACGCGCCACGGCGCCAGCTCAGCAGGCATGCGCCGCCAGCTGGCGGCCGCCGGGTCATCGTACCCTAAAAACAGGTCATGCAGCCAGCCCGGCACCGACGCCTCTTCGTTCATCAGATCCCGAATCGACTCCAGAATCGGCTTGAAGTTATTCTCCTTTGGCTTCCTCCGCATCACCACATTCAAAGCCGAGTAAACCTCCTCCTGCGCTCCTCTCAGCGTCCCTCCGTTGGCCTCTAAATCCAGCTGGAACTGGGCTGGGTCGAGGGCAACGAGAGCTGTGCGCTTGTTCCCTTTGGGCGGCTTCCACTCCTCCCGCTTCACCCTTCCAGAGAAATCATTCATCAGCTTGTTGTCCTCGTCACGCAACTCGATCACCTCACACCCCCGCACATATCTTAACCCGTATCTCTGCGGGACAGACAGCGACGAGACCACTGCAGCAGCATCCGCCGCTGCTTCTTCCTCCTCCGCCCCATCCTCCCCCGCCTCTCGTTTCGCCTGAGCGGCCGCCTGTGCCGCGGCCGCATCAGCCGCAGCTTGCAGCGCGATCTCATCAGGGTGGATTCCCAGCAGGAACAGCACATCATGCTCTTTAATCTCCTCCCACTCGCTCCGCATGGCCGCCTTATACCCCCCTATAGAGTACTCCACTTCCGCTAGAACCGCCGCGGGCTGCACCTCGCCGAGCCGCGGCGCCTTAACTTCCACAATCCGGAAAGACGATATCTGAATGGCCATTCGGGCCCACCCTGTGAACTCTGTATTCCTGTCCACGCTGCTGTACATGCTCCCCTTCGCCCCCATCCGCTTCAGCACATCGTGCACCTCCTCCCGAATCTCGTACGTCGACTCGAGCCGAAACAGGTTGAAATTCCGCAGGAGATAATCATGCAGCGTCAGGAACTGCAGGTTGAGTTTCGGCAGCGCCAAGCAGCCCTCGCCGGTGTAGTTCACGCTGGGGATGAGGCTCTCGTCCCACATGACGTCCTCGTTGGGGTAGAGCGGCAGTGCGTTGAGTGCTGCTCGCTGGGAGCGCTTCTTCTCGAAGAAGGAGACTACTACTTCCTCTAGGAACGGGCGGAGACGGTGGAAGAGCACAGCCCGCTGCTGCTCCCAGTACTCCTGCTCTGCTTCCTCCTCCTCCTCCTCTGCCTGCTGCTGCTGTTGCTCCTCTGAACCCTCATCCACCACCATTCGTGCCGAGGCTTTGGGCCGGCGAGCAGATGAGAGGAGGTGGCGTGGCGGCCGGTATGGCAGGCCTGCTCGAGACAGCAGCTTCAGCTGGACAGTGATGCAAGGGGGAGAAGGGCGGGGAGGGGAAAGGGTGGAAGGGGGGGGGGGGGGAGGTTGGTATTGGGCCAGTATGGCAGGCCCGCTCGAGACAGCAGGTTCAGCTGCACGGTAGGTGGCAGAACGGGGAACAGGGAAAAACTTGCTCAGAACATACATTAAAGGGTACAGGGCCGCAAAATAAAAATAATGTTGCAGCCAAACACAGAAGAACAAACAAGCACAAAACAAGCACACACACGCACACACACACACACACACACACACACACACACACACACACGCAAGCATGCATGCGCATGCGCGCACACACACACGCACTGTTGAGAATTTTGAACTCAATTTACCACACTTGTCGAAGATACTACCACAGTAACACTGACCTTGTTGAGCACCAGCTCCGCCAGCTGCTCGTCTGTGAGTCACCCCATCCACTTGCAAACAAATGCATGCCTACTCAGTGACCCCAGCCAGCCTGCCCACCTCTAGTCACACCCACGAACGTGCCACACCCCTGTTGGTCTGCACTGCCCCATTTTATCACCTTGTTTAGCACTAGCTCCGCCAGCTGCTCGTCTGTGAGTCGCCCCATCCACTTGCGCACTCCGTCAGCATGCTCCACACTGCCCACGTTGGTCAGAGCTATGTCCTGCAGCTGGAAGTGGGGTGAGCAGGGGGAGAGGCGGAACGGGCAGTAGAGATGCAAAGATGAATCCAGGGCGAGTAGCAGGAACACCTTCAGCATGCTGAGGTGACTTTTGGGTCGACTCAAAAATCCAGGGCGAGTAACATGAACATCTTCAGCATGCTGAGGTGACTTTTGGGTCGACTCAAAAATCCAGGGCGAGTAACATGAACATCTTCAGCATGCTGAGGTGACTTTTGAGTCGACTCAAAAATCCAGGGCGAGTAGCAGGAACACCTTCAGCATGCTCCATGTTCCCCACATTGGTCAGCGCGATGTCCCGCAGAAGAGACAGGAATGAGCGGTGTAAGGAGCGGGAGGAGATGGAATGAAATGAAAGCGGAGGTGCAAGGGTGAGTCCGGAATGAATAGCACGGATGCTGCTATGACCATGCTACCACCACCCACCTCTGGCACTTGTTGAGGCGGAACAGCTGGAGAGCGAACACACAAGCGCAGTGCACCCTATCCAGATGTGTAAGTAAGTATCTCTATGTAGCACTCACCTCTGGCACTTTGTTGAAGAAGAACAGCTGAAGGGTCAAAGCCTGAGCGCAGTGCTCCATATGCAGCTGTGCAACTACGTGCCTCACGCAAGCCCCACCTCCTAAGTACTTTGTTGAAGAAGAAGAACTAAACGGCCAACGGCCGAGCGCAGTGCTCCTTATCCCCCTCCTCCTCGTCCAATCGGGTCATAATGTATCCCGTACAACACACACCTCTGGTACTCTGTTGAATCTGAGCAGGCTGTGCAGCCCCCACCTCTGGCACTGTGTTGAAGCAGAACAGCTGGAGGACCGTCCCACGAACACAGTGCTCCCTGTCGACCTGGTCTTGTGACATAATTCTCAGCGAGCAGCAAACTTAGTCAGGCTTAAAGCAACAGTGCTCCCTGTCCACCTCCTCCTCGTCCAGCTGCGTGGCTATGTGCACATGATACCACCCTCTCTGACGATCTGTCACACCCACCTCTGGCACTTTGTTGAAGAGGAACAACTGAAGGGCCGACACGCGCGCGCAGTGCTCCCTGTCCACCTCCTCCTCGTCCAGTTGCCGCCCGGCATGGTCATCCATTTGGAATCTAGCGTAGAATCGTAGCAGATCCACCAGCTGCACAAAAAGACGACCGCGCGGGTGCCGGTACAGCCGGCTCAGTCGGCAGCGGGCGGCGACAGCCATGTCATCCACTACAGGACGAAAGAACCTGATTGAAAGGGGAAAACGGGAATGTGGAAGAGATGGGGGTTGGGAATGAGGACAGGGGTAAGAATGGTTAGGGAGGATGCAAGAGAGGGGGGTTGGGAATGCAGAAGACAAGTTGCAGGCTGTGCTACAGGGGAATAGAGCTCATTGTACCAATGGAGATCAAGCAGCCGTGACCAGTAATCTAGACAAATCGACTGCCACACAAATTCATACCTGCGTGTGGGCAGCTGGCTGAGCAGGTCTACTAGCAGCTTGAGGAATCGCTCGCAGAACAAGAGCCGTGGCTGATACAAGAGGGAGGTACATAGCACATTCTATGCTAACACACATGCAGCGACTCATGCAGACACTACAAACATGCATGCACACCTACCTGCGTGTCGGTAGCTGGCTGAGCAGGTCTATAAGCAGCTCCAGGAATCGCTCACAGAAGAGATGCTGTGGCATACAAAGCACATGCTAACACACGTCCACACACACATGCACACACACGTACAGGCATACATACCTGCGTGTGGGCAGCTGGCTGAGAAGATCTATGAGCAGCTCCAGGAATCGCTCGCAAAAGAGCAGCCGCGGCTGGTCCACTGCTCTCTCCAGCAGCACCCCGGCTGACTCGCTCTGGTCGTCCTCGTAGTCTGGGCCCTTCTCCACCACCTCGTCCAATACCTGACAGGCATTGAGGCACACAGGAGGCACATTCGATCACACCGTTGCAGAGACAGATGGAGAGACAGAGACAAAACAGAGATACAGACCCTAGAGGCACACGGAGAGGCAGACAGACAGACACAGGAAAGCAGACCCCGACGTCATGTCATCTGACAAAATACGCAATAGACGTGCGCTTGCGTTGGGTTGGACCGAGCCTTGGAGCCAGACTGGCCTGGGCTGGGCCGCCTTGGGTCGAACGGGCAGGTTATAACTTTCCCATCAAATCGTACCTCAAACACCTTTTGCGGATTTGCATAATACCTAGACAACCAGCTGCAACACCTCGCACACAGGCCCACACTCACAGCAAAGAACTCCAGAATCAACCCAGGCAGGAATCGAACCCCGCGCCTCTCCTTCCTCTCAGCCGCCTCCGCCTCGGCCCTCTTCTCCCCGCCCTCAGCCACAGCCAGCATTCTGGCGTGGCGGTTCTTGGCGTCCCTCTTGAGCAGGCGCGCCCAGAGGGCGAGCAGGTGCGCGTGGGGGTGCAGCTCGCGCTCCCTGCGGGCAGGTGAGAGGGCGTGCCACAGGGGCAGCGACACCAGCGGCAGCACACACGCCCGCACCAGTGGGTTCTCCAGCGACTGTGGGGGTGGGGGGGGAGAGGGGGAAGGGGAGCGCGGAGGGGTGGGGGAAGAAGTGGATGATGACGACGAAGATGCGGTGCAGGAGGGGATGTGGTTGACAACGCCCCAAACCGCAGCAAGCAAGAGGCTACCTTCACAAAGGCAGGAGAGCCTCACCTGGAAGCAGTGGATGATGAAGACGATGTAATTCATGGCTCATATCATATATGCTCGGCTCGTACTCCTCCTCGCCTCCCCTAACCTTCCCTAACTTCCTATCAACAAGCTAAATAGCTCCTCACCTGGAAGCAGTGGATGATGAAGACGATGTAATTCACGCGCTCATATATGCTCAGCTCGTAACCCCCCTCTCCTCCGCCAACAGCCGATCCACCCTGTCCCTGTTCCTTCACCTCCTTCTTGTCTTCAGCACCCCCTCCCCCTCCTCCCCCTCCGCCTCCCTCCCCTTCTGCTGCGCCTGAACTCTCCTTCGGTTCTCCTCCCTCTCCCTCTGCTCCGTTGCCCTCCGCAACAGCTTCTTTGTTTGCTCCATCCTCCGCCTGAGCTTGATCTCCCTCAACAGACATCTGCTGCTGCTCCCCCTGCTCCTCCTGCTCCTGCTCTCCCTGCTGCTTCTCTTCCTGCTGCTTCTGCTCCTGCTCCTCCTGCCGAGCTCGCTTGCTCCCCGCCTTCCGCTTGGGGTCCTAGGAAGAAGCAAACGGGTACCGACCGAGATTGGATGATGAATGATGGTGTGGAGTAAGCAGAGGTTCTATCCCACACAAGAAAGCGCGTGGAGGGAGGAGAACAATTCAGGCAGAAGTACGCATAGCGATCAGTAAAAACTGAACAACGTGGGCTTTAGGAGGGGAAATTATGGCAGCATTGCTGGGAGTTACCTTGAGAGCAAGGACTCGATTGAAGAATGCAGGGAAGACGTCAGCGCGAGACTGGAAGCAATCCCATGCTGATACATTCTCGCGGAACTAACAGACGACAACAATATCGAAAAAGGACAAAGATGATGGAAGGGGGACAAAACCCCGGCATTTGGAGTGGAAAAAGGTGGATGTATGCATGTTGACAGGAAGTCAAGGCAACATAAAAAGGATATTCATTCAGAATCAATTTTCACGTCAGGGACGTTGAGGTTCAATAGCGAGGTTTAGGGCAAAGGCTTGAGATGCACAAGCGATAACAGCAACGGCATGACAGGCACCAGCAACGCATGAGGCGATAATTAAAGTGCGCGTTCTACTCTGCAATTAAACAGGAACTGCATCAACTGGAGAAGTTAACAATAATAACAGATGGGTAACTGAAGAAACAAACAAATTATGGAAAACGAATCCGCACCTTTTCGTTGACCATGAGAATGATTGACATCACATGCTCCACGGACGCGGTTTCCGGGTCGAAATTCGGCCATAGGTATTTCTCCAAATACTGGCTCACTTCCAAAACCATCACGCGCTGCAGCGGCACTGGCTTCCTGCCACGTGTCACTTTCAGATCCTCCCGATAGATTTTCCGAACCAGATCGGGATTTAACTGGATTGTAGTAGCAGGCTTCGGGGCTTTCCCGAGAATGCCGTCTCCAGATTTGTCAGTCGCAACTACGCGTGAATGCGGAAGCGAGCTCTCGGATTTTAGCCAGTTGGCGGCTGCGATCTTCATCAAGCGGTCGCGCTGGATCGCATCGACGGTCAGGGATCGACCAGCCGGACCTCCCTGCGATTTCTCAGCCATCGGATTGTAATTCGATCGGCCGGTCCGCTCTGCCGTCGTGGTTTGCGGGCCTACCATTGCGACTGCGCGTCCCGTCCCTTACGCGAAAACTAACACGCAAAATGAAGCTGGAGAACAAATAGGAAGTTAAAACTTCTTCTGAGATGAGACGCGTGACATGGTACGCGACCGTCGAAATGGAGACTCAACCTGTCAACTAGCAAACCGCTATTGGGAGTCCAAAAGTGCTTCAGTCCTCCTATCTCCCTTGCAGCAGACGATACCCCTGATCCATTCAGATGACTTCTTCCAGGCGAGTCGACCAAATTGCTTCAATGCGGTGGAGAGAGTGTTTCTGGTTTACAGAGTGGTTCGTCTTATTTTGAAACGTTTGGTAAGGGTTCCGAGCACAAACAATTTGCTTTCGACTCTGCTTGGCAGCATCAGCAGTCATTTCGTTGTAGAGTAGTCCGTCACAAACGGCACTTAGAAACGGGTATAATTGTGAACATCTGACGTTATACCAGCCAAAAAGGCAAGTGACATTACAAGACCCCCACCCCCCTCCCACTGGAGACCTACCGACAGCCCCCAGATATACACGTTTTTTTTTTTGGTGCGCTTATAATAGAGGATTTTAATAAGTGTCGGCCCATATATAATGACATATATGAAATCTGATTTTTCTTCACCAATCAATACATCTCGTTCTTACAATCTATCGGATCGAAACTGTTACGCATAGTAAAAGATGAAGCATTACTGTGCACTCCTTACCGCAGCACACACTACCGAGGCTGAAGACGAAGAGGTGGAAGTGACGCGAAGGGTCATGCGGTTACAAAGGGATCTGGACCGTCGGGCAGACAGCATCAGGCAGCAGCAGTGACGAGGATTTTGCCCAGGCAGTTTTGTAACCGTTTTTGTCAAACTTATATGTTGCATGTTCTGTAGTCTGTAATGGGGCAGCCCACATGGGGTACAACACAACTTAAGGTTAGTACTTGTACCCATCCTGCTGCTAGTTCATTCCATTCTCGTTCGTTATTCTGACATGGTTTCAGAGCACGTCCTTCGCTAGGACCGAATTTTTTTAGGGCCCACCACAGAGCTGCCTCACTAGCTGCCCTGCCACACTACCCTACTGACGCGCCACCCTTCTGGCCGCGACACCGCCCCTAGCAACTCGTCGCGCCGCCCTTAGCAGCCCACGAGCCGCCCCTGCAGCTAACGCGCTGCCCCTGCAACCCGCTTGCCACCTGCTCATGGCCCGCGCACCGCCTCAGCAACCCCGCGCGCCACCCCTCCAGCCCCGCGCGCCGCCTCTGCAGCCGTCGCCCCTGTAGCCCGCGCGCCGCCTCTGCAGCCCCGCGCGCCGCCCCTGCAGCCCCGCGCGGCGCCCCTGCAGCCCCGCGCGCCGCCCTTGCAGCCCCGCGCGCTGCCCTTGCAGCCCGCGCGCCGCCCTTGCAGCCCCGCGCGCCGCCCCTGCAGCCCCGAGCGCCGCCCCTTGCGGCCCCCTCGCCGCCCCTTGCGGCCCGCACGCCGCCCCTGCAGCCCCGCGCGCCGCTTCTTGCGGCCCGCCCGCCGCCCCTAGGCCCGCTCGCATCCCTTGCAGCCTGCTCGCCGCCCGTGCAGCCCGCTCGCTGCCCCTACGGCCCGCTCGCTGCCCCTTGAGGCCAGCTTGCCGCCCCTTGCAGCCCGCGCGCCGCCCCTTGCAGCCTGCTCGCAGCCCCTTGCGGCCCGCTCGCCGCCCCTTGCAGCCTGCGCACCGCATTCTGGCAGCCCACTCGCCGCCCCTTTGGATGCCCGCCCTGCTACTTGCACTGCCCAGCTCCTGCCCGCACTGCTGCTGGTCACCCTAGCCGTGCGCCGCCCTGCCCTGCCTACGTGCTGCTCTGCAGGTAGCACGCCACCCTGCTCTGCCCGCTATGGCTTCTCTCCGTGTCCTCATGTTCGATCATGTGGGCCGTCCGATCCAGTTCGACACGTGGCTCGACGACTTACAGCTGTACCTACTGAGCGACTCTTGAGACAGCGTTTCGTTGTTTGACCACACGTCTGAAGCCTCTCTCGCCCCTCCCGCCACAGCTGACAGTGCGACTCGCTCACAGTGGCTTACCCGTGACGCTGCTGCCCGCTTAGCCATTCGCAACCACCTGCCCTTAGCCGAATGCGCTCACTTCGGACAGCACAAGACTGCTAAAGCAGTGTACGACGCTGTAGTCGCCCGTTACTCCTCCCCTGCCACTGCTGCTCTAGGCCGTCTTATACTTCCCTACCTGTTTCCGGAGCTGTCCGCCTTTGCCACGGTAGAGGACCTCGTTTCCCACCTTCGCACTAGCGACGCTCGCTACCGCGCTGCCCTCCCAGCAGAGTTCCTTGACAGGAACCCCCCTCTGATGTACATCACTCTCTACTTCATATTCCCGCCTCCCTAACTCTCTTCGCGCAGTCAGGGACCACTTTCTCGCACTTGACCCCACAGACCTCACTGTTGACCTACTCGAGCAGCACCTCCTTGCAGCTGAGACTAGTGTAGTCGATGTAGGCGCCGCTCCTGGCACTCCTCGCACGCCCTTCTTTGAGGGGTGTTCCCCCTCCCCCCTTGCCCCCTCCTACGCCTCTGCTGCTGCTGTTGACGTCTTTGGTGCTGACGACGTCCGGGCTGCTTCTGCTAGTGGGAAGCGCCGCAGCAGCAAGGGCAAGGGTGGCACGAGTGGTGGAGGTGGCAGCGGGGGTGGTAGTGGGGGCGGCAGTGGAGGTGGTGGAGGTGGTGGAGGTGGTGGCAGCGGTGGGAGTGGTGGCGGGAGTGGGGGCTTTGGTTGCGGCGGTGGTGGCAGTGGTGGGAGTGACGGTAGTGGCGGCGGAGGGGGTGGTGGCAGTCGGGGTGGAGCTATTCAGAGGGGAGGTTCTGGCGGTGGCCAGCGGCAGCAACAGCAGCGTCGAAGCGAGACACCTTCACCCCAGCAGCTTCGTGAGTCGTTTGCTCAGCGTGGGGCGTCTGGGGGTAGTGTTAGCTGCCCGTATGTCATTCGCACGGGTGACCGTGCTGGTCAGACATGCGGGAAGCCTCACTCTCAGCACCGCTGCTTCTCCCGCCTAGATGACGCTTGGCGCGTAGAGTTTGGTGACGAGGCCGAGCACCCCCGCTGGGCAGACCTGCTTAGGTCTGGAGTTGCTATATTTGATCTTGACTATGATGCTATCATTGCTGCTATATATGCCTTGTCTGTTAGTGCTGAGGGTGACTGTTACCTGTGTGTGCCGCCTGACCCAGGTATAGAGGCTGCTGTTCTAGGTGCTAGTGAGTCTTTTCTCCTGGTACTGCGCCTGCTGAGGCCTTGCACACCTTTACGCTTGACTCAGGTGCTTCTCGCTGTTTCTTTCGCGACAGCACCACCCTCACTCCTCTCTCTGCACCTGTACCGGTCAGAGTGGCTGACCCCTCAGGGGGGCCAGTTCTTGCCCGTTCCTCCACTGTTCTCCCTTGTCCGGCAGTTCCGTCCGGCTCACTGTCAGGTCATCACCTCCCTTTGTTCTCTATGAACTTGGTGAGTACCGCTGCCCTCCAGGATACGATGGTCACTACCACCACTCCTGGGGGTCAGCGTGTGTCAATCTGCACGTGTACACGGACGGGCCGTCACCTGGCCACGTTCATCCGTCGGCTTGGGTTGAGTCTGTACACCCTGGCTACCGAGCCTCCTCAAGTAGCTGCGTCTGCCCACGTGTCCGCGTCAGGTCAGGTAGCAGCCCCCTGTTCGTGTCGCCTCCTCTCGCACCAGACTCTCCTTTGGCACCACCGCCTTGGTCACCCCTCCCTGCCACGCCTCCGTGGCATGCACTCCCGCCTCCTTGTTTCTGGTCTTCCCAGGTCTCTGCCTCCCTTCCCGCCCTCGCCTTCCCCGCCCTGCCTTCCTTTCGTCAAGGGGCGGCAGCGCGCCACTCCTCACTCCTCCTCGTTTCCCCCGACGACTGCTCCCCTGCAGACTCTCTACATGGACGTGTGGGGCCAAGCCCGCGTTAGTGGACAGGGCCGCGAGCGCTACTTTCTGCTGGTTGTTGACAACTAATCGGGATACACCACGGTCTTCCCCTTGCGCAGCAAGGGGGGGGGTCCCTGATGTCTTGATCCCTTGGATCCGCACAGTCCGTCTCCAGCTCCGCGAGCGGTTCCGCCAGGACCTTCCTGTCCTGCGTCTGCACGCTAACAAGGGTTTGTCAGAATCCCAGTCACTAGACCATTGGGATAGAAGGGCTTGTTCAGTAGCAGGTCAGTGCGCAGATAACCCCCCAGGACAACGAGCCTGTAACCCTTCCCTAGGATCAATCGGGGATCACCAGTGGACCTCTGACAGGGTTGTGAGTTCTCCTCCGACCTCTTGCGGGACTTTTATCGTGGGGAGAGCATCCGCCAGTCGTTCACGCTTCCGGCCTCTCCACAGTAGAATGGGGTTGCTGAGCGCCACATTGGCTTAGTCATGGAGGTGGCTCATACCTCCATGATCCATGCGGCTGCTCCCCATTTTCTGTGGCCGTTTGCGGTCCGGTACGCTGCGCATCAGCTCAACCTCTGGCCCCGTCTCTCCTTGCTGGAGACCTCGCCTACACTACGTTGGACGGGGGAGGTTGGCGATGCGTTGGTGTTCCGGGTCTTGGGCTCTCGTGCCTTTGTCCGCGATACTTCCGCGGACAAGCTCTCCTCCCGCGCCATTCCCTGTGTCTTCCTTGGCTTTCCCCTTGACGCGCCTGGCTTGCAGTTTTACCACCCCACCTCGCGCCGTGTCGTGCCCTCTCAGGACGTCACGTTTGACGGGTCGGTTCCCTTTTACCGTCTCTTCCCCTACCGCACTGCCCCTCTCTCCCCCCTCCCACCGCTCTTCCTCGCTCCAGGTCCCCCTCCGGTAGTCCCCCTTCCCCCTCAGGGTCCTGCTCTCTCAGATGTGTCTCAGGTAGACCCACTCCCCTTGGCTGAGCCTGTCGAGGTCATTGTAGACTCTGGTGCTGCTGGGGGTGGTGCTGCTAGGGGTGCTGCGTCCGGGGGTGCTGATCCTGTTGGTGCGGAGCCTGGGGGTGCT